CACACACACAAAATAAATAAATAAATGTTTAAAAAAATTGCTGGGGAGATAGCTCAGGAGAATATAGTGCTTGTCTGGCAAGCACAAGATCCTGAGTTCAATCCCCAGTTCCATCAAAAAATTAAAGTTAAAAAAATTTTTTTTATGCATAATAAAGTTTGGGAGCAACAACCTTACAGACAAATTATATAAACCATGATTGGAATTATATATCAGATTTTCTCTTTTTTTCTTTTTTCTTATCCAGTTAATTTTTAAAAAATTCATTTAACACTAGCATAGTTCACTTTCTTTTCTTTTTTCCCCTCTCCCTTTTAAAGAACATAGTCAAGTGATTACTTGACTATGTATATTATTGTAGATATTATACAGATATTTTCTCAATTCTTCTGCAAAACCACTGAGTCTTAATGCCATTCCATTTTACCTATGAAGACAGTGAAGTTTTGGACCTAGGGAGGTAATTGCCTTTTTTCTTTTTCTTTTCTTTCTTTTTTTTTTTTTTAATGTATTTAGTACAGGTCTACAGGGTCTAACTACACAGATCAGACTCGGAGTGATCCTCCTGTTTTCAGCCCCCAGGCTCTGGGATTACAGGCTTGAGCCACCACATCCAATCTGAACCGCTTTCTCAGCGTGCCTGGAGGTGGGGCTGGCACAGCATACCGGGGATCGAACCCAGTCTCTGAACCTAGCCCTTTTTCTGTCTCTGATTATCCATTTCATTCAAATCTCTTTTAGATATGTCATCTCTATCATGTTCTCAATGAATTAATTTGTGAACTATAATTATTTATGTATGGTACTATGCAAAGTAATGGCTCTACAGTGATGTTTCCATAAATATACACATGGCATTTGGATCCTACCTACCTCTCTTCAACCCTCTCTACCCCCAGCCCCCATCCTCTCCCTTGTCCCCTACTGCTTTCCTAATATTCTCTCTTCTACATTGAGGCCTTTTGTTTATTTGTTTCCACATATGAGAGACAGTATGCAATATTGGTCTTTGCTGGGTTGGATTCATTCTGCTGATGGAATTCTGACATTGTCTATGCTAAAAAATATGCCTTGGACTTTGTGATGCACTCAGAGTAGGGTTGGTTTTTTCCTCTACCAATGAGGATGAGTCTGCCTATTGAGCTCATTAGGACCAGAGCCTCCTTCAGACTGTGGTGCTCTCCACCTTGGTCAGAATGTTCCCTGAATCTTTCTAGAGAGCTATGGAGACAGCAGTCTCTCACATATCCAGCTTGAAGGGCAGAGGTTGATTGTGGCCCACAGTGTCAGTCCATGGCTGGCTGGCTCCAAGGCAGACCGTCATCGCTGAGGGACTGGTGGAGCAAAACTGCTAACCTCATGGGGCCTGGAATAGGAGCACAGGGGAGAGGATGAGTGAGAAATGTACCTTCAAAGGTGAGCATCCCAGTGACCCCGTGACCTCATCTAGGCCCCGCCTCCTAACGGCATATGCCGTTAGGAGTCCATTGATGAGCATGACCCCCATGATTCACTTCCTTCCAGGAGTCTCTGCATCCAGGCAAGTAGGCCATTAAAGTGAAGTGACACAGAGGGACCTTGTAGACTGAAGCACCCCTTAGGGGCCATTTCTCCTCTTCTTTATACACATCTCACATAGCCAAAGACAAAATAGCCACAAAAGGAAGATGGAATCAAGTGGAATAAAACCTGTACTCGTCGTGATTCCCTCAGCATGTACCAGAATATGAAAAGTAAAAGGATATTCATTTATTTCTGTGGGCTCTGTCAAAGGCTGAAGTCTTTGGACTGGAGAAAACATCTTTATCCCTCTGTTGGGCATGGCGGGATCATCTCCAACCCCCTTTTCCCCCCCAGGGACTAGAGACATGTGGCGAGCCTACTCTGACATGAGAGAAGCCAATTTCAAGAATTCAGACAAATATTTCCATGCACGGGGGAACTACGATGCTGCCCAAAGGGGACCTGGAGGTGCCTGGGCTGCTAAAGTGATCAGGTGAGGCAGGTTCCTGGGGAGCCTGGCCTGGGTGAACAGAGTGGACAGCCTGGAGGTGCTTCCTCTTCCATGTGGAGCCATCACCTGTGCACACTGTGCCCCTCCTACTTTGCCCCAGCTCCTTCTCAGTGCTTAGTGCTGGGTCTGATCACCTGCTGGGAGTTCCTGATTCCCAGTCCTGCTCCTTTGGTGCTGTCCACACAATGTAAGGATGGGTTGGGCATGGGTGCCAAGATGCGTCAGTGCCTAGCCCTACTGGCTTTGGCCTTGCTGGGCTCCACTCAGGACCATTCTGGGAGAGGGCAGCCAAGAAGGTGGGGCTATTGCTTATCAGTGTAGTGCTTAATCTCTGCTCTGCCTGTCTTGATTGCAGTGATGCCAGGGAGGGTATTCAGGGTTTCCTGGGCCGTGGAGCAGAAGACACAGCAGCGGACCAGTTTGCCAATAGATGGGGCAGGAGTGGCAAAGACCCCAACCACTTCCGACCTCCAGGTCTGCCCAGCAAGTACTGAGCTTCCTTTTCACTCTGCTATCAAGAAAATCCAGCTGTGACTCTTTAAGGACCTGGACATTTACTGAATTAATTGCTTCACTTGATGGCCTTAGTGCTTGACATGGAACACCTAAAAATATTTAATAAATGTGAAATCCAATTTGTTGTTATAATATGTGAATTGTATGTGATATTCTTACTAGAAGCCTGGGCCATGTGGATGATCAATAAATATTATTGTTGTAGGGACTGGGGAGATAGACCAGTAGAATAAGTGCTTGCTCTGGCAAGCGCAAGGGCTTAAGTTCAATCCCCAATTCTGCAAAAAATAAATAATTAAATAAGTAAAATAAAAATAAATAAACATTATTGTTTTTATTTTCCTTTTTAAGAAACAGATACCAGACACTAGCTATACAATAGAAATTGGAAATAAAATTGCATGTCCATACATGGACCCAACATTGACCAATATATGCCCATCTTATACTTTCCAGAAAAAACAGAGATGATAAGAGTCTCTTATGAGCAACATAAGTGATAGTTTAAACTAAATAAAAATTTAAAATCCTAGCTTTAAATGTTAGTTTTAGTTTTATTTAATTCTTCAATCCATGCAAAACTGACTTTCATTAGAGCCTTATTTTCATTTTTTTCTGGCTATTATTTCCAAATAGTAATCATTCAATAATTTATCCTATGAATATTTTTTCTTTTTTTTTTTTTTTTTTTTTTTTTTTTTTTTTTGAACCAGGGATTGAACTCAGGCCCTTGCGCTTGCCAGGGAAGCACTTATTCCACTGAGCCATCTCCCCAGCACCCCTGTGAGTATTTTTTCAATTTCACTTCTATCATATATCAAGCCTCTTCATAGGCAAGGGAACATGCATGTAGGGATCGATTCCTTTCATCCACATATGAATCCTTGCACCAAGACCACACTGCATTTTAAGTACTGATAGATGATAGTGTGCCCTCTTTTTCTGCTTTACTTTTATCTTCAATATTTATTACTTCCTTACATATTGAGTTAATTATCTATTGCAGGAGTAACAGACATTGCAAAACTTAGTCCCTAAATATAAAGGTGTTACTTTTGATGCTTTTAGGGGATAGGTGGGAGGTTTTAGGCTGGTGTTGCCAGCTCATTTATGCCAGATGGATCCTGCTGGATGGTTGGCAGGTGCTGGAGCTAGTACCATCAGGCTCAGCTGAGATTGCTGGATCTCTACCTCCATGTGGGCTGTCCTTGTTGAGCAGACAGCACTAGGTGCTCACATGCTGATGCCTCCAGAGGCCTCAGCAAGCACAAGCACCTACCAGGCATCTGCTTGTATCTCATTTGCCAATGTCCCTCTTCCCAGAAGAGTCATGTGGCCAAGATATCCTGAGGGTGAGGGGATGAACCAGCCCAACGGCACAGGGATCAGGAAACAAGCTTCCTTAGGGGTTGTCAGGTACTAATCCACCATCCATACTATATATTTTACTTATTTGCTTGGTTGCCATCTCCTATCATAATACAAGTACATCAAAGGCTGGAATTTTTTTTGTACTTCACTGTCATAAACTTAGTATCTAGAATAGTGCTGTCTGTATAGTGCACACTCAGCATTTATCACTTTCTCAATTATCAAACTTTTCTTAGTGTTGTAATTTTCTACACAGGAGGACTTTCTTTTCTTTTTTAGGGTGAGTAGATATTTGGAATTAAATTCTGGACCTCAGGTTAGCCAGGCAGTTGCTTAGCCATTGAGCTAAATCCACATTTAGAGGCACTTTAATGGAGGCATTTAAATCTATCTTACTCCCATGTTTGCAATTCAGAAGCATGCTTTGCTTTGCTCTGCAAAGTTTTAAGTGAACAACTGTATTTTCACAGAGCCAGGACCTAAACAAACATTGCTCTGCCACCGACTGCATGCTAAAACTTTCAGGATAATTCTGAACTATAAATCCATGTTTGTGGACTCAGTGTTTTCTTGTGGTCTAACTATAATTTTGAGCTCATTTACATTGATAGGTCCAAAAAGCCTCCATTTTAGAAATCAGATAAGCTTTGGGTGAATTCACTCCTCACCCTCTTCCCTCTTAGTTAACCATAAAAGCTGCAAAGAAGAACAACTTGCTAACCTAAAGAATAAACAGTTAAAGAAATTGTAGGTAAGCTAGAATTTAACCATACCAACAAATCCTTAGGAAATGTAAACCTTGTGATATTTTTTGGTAAGATTTCAAAATGAGGTGGTTGCAATGGTTACTTATAAAGTTATAAAAATCCATTACAAAGTTCTCTGGTGGCTGAGATCCATTCATTGTGCATCAGATTGTCATCCTGCCGGCAATAAAAGCCTCATTTGTTCGCATTCTTGGTCTCTTGCGAGGATTCATCTTAATGAATTTTGCTGCAACAACCTACTCTCAAAAATGAACAAAAAAAAAAAAAAAAAAAGAACCACAGTTGCCTGCATGATTCAAATACATTAGTGGTCACCCTTAAAGTGTGACATGAGATGGACCAACTATACTAGTTGTGCTCTCTGAACATAGATGCTTTGTAGTGTTTGGGATATTTAAGACTCAATAAACCACCTGTATAGAAAATCATAGAAACAGGAGTGAAAAGAGAAGTAGAAGCACTATGCATGCTTCACAAGGCCCTGGCATCTGGCAGGAAGCCTAGGTGGAGCTTCCCAAATTAGGCTGAACCTCACACACTCTAGTCTCACCTAACCCATTGCTGATACCAGGTGAGGGCTGTCCTCGGATAAAGGGAGCTACTTTGTAGGTATGGGCAGCACTGAAGGAGCTGATAGCTAGGCCCAGTGTGCTGACACATTCCCTGTAGCTGGGCAACATCTCCTTCCTTAAAGGGATCTGGGTATCAGCTCCATCTCTCCACCAAAAGATTCTGATTTCATCATATTCTCCTGTGTTATCAACTTGGAGGACCAACTGGACCAACTGCTCTTCCTTGAAAGAAGAGCAATTACCTCCCTCTTGACTAACCCAGGCCCTATTCCCTTATATTGATATGTACAGAGCTGGCTAGGAGTTTTCCCAATCCCTTCAATTGTCTTTAAGCAATGCAAATTGTTCTAGCACAGGTGCTGATGCGTAGCCTTTGAAGGGAGGTGACAGGTCAGCGTTGGCCCACCACATAACTCCCAAAAAGCATGTTTGAGATGCTTTGGATGGACAGCCATCCTGCTCCATGCTGTCAGCTGTGATTGAGCTTCGAGATAAGAGGCTATGGGGCCAGGGATGTAGCTCAGTGGCATAAGTACCTGCCTGGCAAGTGCAAGGGCCTGAGTTTGATCCCTGGTACAATAAATAAATAAATAAAAAGGCTATCACTTCCCAGTGTATAAAAGATTACATACCAGTGGTGAAGCTCTGACCCCAAAACATTAGACACTACCTCAGCTGTGTTATGCAGAGTACTCTTTTCCCAAATCCTTCTCTCCACATATTGTAGAAGTGATTTCAAGACTCCTTCCTAGCCCAGCTCACAGCACTCGTGAACTTCCTGCCATTCTCCCAGTCACCCATCCTCCAGCCACTCCCTTCACAAATTGATAAAACCAGGGTTCAGCCCTGGGTTGAAGCCTTTGTTCCATCACCCTAGCTGGACTTAGGACCCCCTTGGCTCCCCATAACTACAAACATATGTTAGTGTCTTTATTCTCGCCATGGGTTGCACTGGTACTGGTAGATTAGAATTTACTTGTCAGGATTCCAGTAACTTTTCTATGGGATTAAAAACATGAACTTCCCAGACCATGACAAGGACCAGGAAAGACTCTCTACAGTCAACTATTGACACCTTCTGTGTGACAATTGTTTACAGAGCTTGGTGGGAATTTTAAAAATTATTATTATCTAGAGAATACAAAATAGTAAGAAAAAAACATTAAAAATGATACAGATCTTTACCAAATAAAACAACATTGGTTGATATATTGTACAATGTCTTCACATTAGTAGTTCAGATTAATAGATATAAACATGCAAAACTGATAAACAAAAAATGTTATAAGAAATTAAAAAGGACAAAATATTTTAAGCATCAACTGCTCTCCTTTGTAGACCACCAGAAATCAGCAGTGCAATTATCCAAGCCATCCTGCATACATATATCAATATGTCTCACCCTTGCCTTCCACCCTCTCCTGTCCTTTTCCTCAACCCAGTTTTTCTTTCCCTTAGAACCGATTCTTTCTCTTTCAAAGCATCTACTGTGTCTTTTAGTGTTTATTTACCCTCTAATGTTTTCAAATTAGCAAGACAGCACAATGTTTGCACATGCAGGTTTTCTTTCTTTCTTTCTTTCTTTCTTTCTTTCTTTCTTTCTTTCTTTCTTTCTTATGTATTTAGTACAGAGTCTACAGGGTCTCACCATGTAGATTAGACTCATAGTGATCCTTCTGTTTACAGCCTCTCAAGTGGTAGGATTACAGGTGACCAGCACCATACCCAGGCTCAATCATCCCATCTCAGCATACCCTGATGGCAGGGCCAGCACAGCAGGCACAGGGATCGAGCCTCCAGCCCCTGAGTCTGCCTAAGCAGGTGCTTTAATCTGCTGACCTATCTGACTGGCCCCTTGGTTTATTTCACTTACGAGTATGGTCTCTAGTTGCATTCATTTATCTATAAAAACCTTGAATTTATCTATTTTTATAGCTGAGTAATACTCAAAATACCACATCTTTTTATCCATTCCTCAGTTGGTGGGCATTTGGGTTGTTTCCAAGATTTAGATATGACAAATTGTGCTGCTATAAACATGTGTACACATATATCACTGTGGTATGATGTTTTCAGTTCATTTGGAAAGAAGTCTAGGAGGGGAAGATCTGGGTTGAATGGGACTTCCAAGCCTAGCTTTTTGAGAAGTCTCTACACTGATTTTCACAGTGGTTGTACCTTCTCACCAACAATGGAGAAGGGTTCCTTTTTTCCTGCAGTCCCTCCAGCATTGTTATTGGTTGACTTCCTGATGATAACCATCCTTTCTTGGGTGAGAGAGAATCTTTATTTGTTTATTGATTTGATACAGGTTCTTGTTATGCAGTTCCTAGTGATCCTCCTGTCTCAGCCTCCCCAGTGCTGGGATTACAGGCATGTATCACCACACCCAGTTTCATCAGTGTTCTTTTAATTTGCATCTCTTGAATGACCAGTGATGTTGAACAATTTTTCAAATATTTATTTGCCATTTGTATTTTATTTGTGAAGTATATATTCATCTCAGATGCCATTTTTTGATTAGGTCTTTGAATTTTGGAGACCTGATATTTTTTAATTCTTTATATGTTTTAGATAGAAGTCCTCAGCCTGAGAGACAGTTGTCTATAATTTTTTACCAATTTGTAGGGTTTCTTTTTACTCTGTCGGTGATTTGTGTTGATGTGCAGAAACTTTTCAGAAAGTATTGACAAAGTCCAATACTCATTCATGATTAAAAACCCTACAGAAAGTTATTATTTTTTCCAATCATTATTCATTTCATTTTCTTGTCTAATTGCTTTGGCTAATGTTTCCAGAGTTATATTGAATAGTTATGGTGACAGTGGACATCCTTGTGTTGTTCCTGATTTTAAAGTGAAGGCTTTCATTTTTTTGTCCATTTAGTATGATGTTGGTCATTGGTTTGTCATATATGGCTTTTATCAGGAAAAGAAAGACTGTCTATTCCAATTTTCTGTAAGGTTTTTATCATGAATGAGTATTGGACTTTGTCAAAATCTTTTTCTGCATCTATTGAGATGATCATGTGATTTTTGTCTTTAGCTCTGTTGTGTTGTATTACATTTATGGATTTGCGTATATCGAACCATCCCTACATTCTGGCAATGAATCCCACTTGATTGTGATGTATAATCTTTCTGATGATTTTCTGCATTCTGTTTGATAGAATTTTATTGAGAATTTTTGTAGTTATGTTCATTAGGAAGATTAGCCTATAGTTCTCTTTTTTGGTTGTATCTTTCTGTGGTTTTGGTGTCAGAGCAATACTTGCCTCCTGGAAAGAGTTTGGGAGAATTGCTTCCCTTTCAATTTCATTGAAGAGTTTGAGAAGAATTGGCATTAAACCTTCTCTAAATTTCTCATAGAATTCAACTGTGAATCCATCAGGACCTAGGCTTTTGTTTATTTGTAGGTGTTTGGTTACATTTTAAATTTCATCCACTGATATTCTTCAGAATTTTTATGTCTTTCTGATCCAGCTTTGGTAATTCATCTGTATCTAGGAATCTGTATTTTCTGTATTTTCTATCCTGTGAGAGTAAAGATTTTGGAAGTAGTATTAATGATCTGAATTTCTATAAGGTTTGTCATGATTTTTCCCTTTCATTCCTTCTTTTTTTAAATTAATTTTATTGAGAAACAAATAGCAATGAGACAGTTTCAAAACCAATTAATAGGACAATTTTAATAATAATTAATACATTGCATATTGTTGTCTTCATAGTGGTTATTCATAGTACAAGATGTAGACATTATATCCTGTCCAAACACTTTTAGTACAAATCTTTCTTCTCATTGTCATTCCTTCTATGTGTTAGCATACAGTCTATTTTGGAGAACATTCTGTGTGCAACTGAGAAGAATGTGTATTTCCTTTTTTAAAGAATGTATATTCTGATAATGTTGGATGGAACATTCTGTAAAGGTCTACTAAGTCCATTTCTTCACAAGTTTGTTTTAATTCTGTTATTTCTTTGCTAATTTTTTGAAGATGCTGCCAGGTCTATTATCTTATTGCCTTTTATTTGACCAGAGGTAATTTTCTACTTGTGGATTTTTGTTTGGGGGAATGGGGGACAGGAAGTAGGGTTTATTGGTGGGCATTAATTAAGGAGATGCAACACAGTGGAAGGCCTCCTGAGAACAGGGCCTGCCATTTGTCCAGGAAACAGCTACTGGTGATGTATTTGATCCAATAGCTATCCTGGATGACCTGTTTCTCAGCTTTTTTTTTTTTTTTTTTTTTTGCGGAACTGGAGATTGAACTCAGGCCCTTGCACTTGCCAAGGAAGCACTTATTCTACTGAGCTATGTCCTCGGCCCCTCTCAGCCATTTTGTCTTCAAGTTCATCTGCAGTGAATTTAGTAAAATCCCCATTCTTTCTGATGTGATTGATCTTCTGGTGGTCAGGGAACTGGAGCTTGTCCCTGTTTAGGGCCTCTTAATTCCATGCTCCTTGTTTTGCAGCTCATGGCAAATGACCATGATGATGAGATCAGCGTGAACACTGGCCACTGCCCTCTGGAGTTTTCCAAAAGTATGCTCCATACCTGTCCATGCCTGTCTGGAATCTAGATTTGGATCAGCACAATGTCAGAGACATGAGCATCCTTCAGAAATGGCTGTTTCTAAGGTTTCTTAGCATCCCCAAGGACAACACAATGTGTGCAGTGCCCAGGAGGCTGCTATTTGCAGCTATTTCACACTCAGTTCCTGCAAGGAGCAGAGCTTTGATGGCTAAATTAGCTGTAGCCACCAGAGGAGCAAACGGTTAATCCACTGCAGGATTCCTGTGATGTGGTCATTTGGGGGAAGATAAAATTAGAAAGAGTGCTCCATTCAGACAAAAGGCGATTTATTTACTCATAAAGTAGTAGTAGTAGTGGCACTTTGTATGTGTGATCTTCTCTCAGGTGTGACTTCTATTTTTCTTAGGATTTCAATCACACCTGGGAGAAGTTAGAAGCGACAGATATCTGAAATTATGGCAAGAAGCGTGCATGGTAGTGCGCACTTATCATCTCATTAGGCTGGAGACAGTTGGGAGCCTCTAAAGCTGGAAATTGGTCATATGTGGGAGGGCAGGAGGAAGTCTCATTGCTTAAAGCAGTAAAGTTACCTCAGTTTTGAGAAAAACATCCTGCTGGGACATTGTGGGCTATTAGTTGCTAGGCAACATTGTGTCTTGTAACTTTGCAAAGGTATAAATAAACACCCTTACTGTTGTTCTGCGGGCCTTGGCCTTATTAAGCTTGGTCTTCCACCTGACCTCAACAATTATCTTTTGTTTTTGTTTTCTGAATCTTCTCTTTGTTTTCTCCCAGGGACTACCTGAAGACCAACAAATCCCTACAAGATTCTGAAGCATTAGAATCACAAGTCCCAGGCCAGCCTGGGTAATTTAGTGAGACCCTGTCTCAAAGGAGAGGTGGAGGTGTACACAGGTAGAACATTTTGAATATTCTTGCGGTCAGAAAGCAATGGGATTATGTATCATGATTTTAAGATTCCCATCTGTACAAGAGACACTGACCTGTTCTAGACCTTCTTAAATCAGGACAAGGGCTGCTAAAGAAATCACATTTATGATCCAGGCAGGGAGGTTAACAAATAACAATCACGCCTAGCTTTGGGGGTGGGGTATGGTAAAATAGGTTAGGGCAGGATAGGTTAGCCTAAGGGTGGGAGGAAATTCTACCTGGGCGCACACGCATGTCGGCGGGACTCCGGGCAGCAGGGGGCGCTGTGGCGGGAGCAGCAGCGCGCGGGGCCCTCTGGCACGAGAAGTCCTCTCGCTTCCCCCACGGCTTCCGGCTCGGCTCGGGCGTGGAGTGATCGGAGCGCGCGCAGTCATGGACCGCAACCCGTCACCGCCGCCCCCGAGTCGGGACGACGAGGACACGGAGGTGGCGGGGGGAGACTGTATCGGGAGCACTGTGTACAGCAAACACTGGCTCTTCGGTGTCCTGTCCGGGCTTATCCAGGTGTGCGAATCCAACAAAGCGAAGCCGGAGGGCAGGGGCGCCGCACGCTCGGGGGGCCGGTCGCGCGCTGCGCTTGTCCCGGGATCCAACCGTGGAAGTAGATGGAGTGTTGCGCCTCAGCCCCGCTGCGCTTTCTGAGGTTTATGAGCCAGGCCTAATTTACGAGTGTCGCAGACTTTGGTGGTAGAGAAAGAAACGCGGGGCTGGGACTCACGCAGCGCTGATGTGAAGGACTCGGCCCCTTTGCCTGCTTGCTGCGTGACTTGGTCACACGCCTGAGCTCGGTGGCCTCCATTTCTCTCGCAGTTTCTATAGACTAGAATCGGTAATATCGTTTTTGTGTTTTTTGTGCAAGTTAAGTGAGATCACAATGACCCCAGAGTGCTTAGTATGGTGTTTGTTTATAGGAAACTCAGTAATTGTTTTTTTCCTGTCTACACTGTAGCCTA